TTTTTCTTGTGAAAGTTTGTTGGGTTTTGTGTATAACACAGCAATCTTGCACAGAAAACAGATGAGGTTGGAAAAACTATGGATATGGTTTTGGTGAGAGGTGAGTGGGTTGCATAAAACTACACAATTCTCATGCAGAACAAAAAGCCACATGTATTTCTATGCAAATTAACTTTTCAAAGTATGCTCAAAAGTCTGACAATCAGACAAGAACTGTGCAAAAATATTTGGTTTTGCTGCACAGAGGAGAAACCTTGGAAATTATTCATCTTCACTTATGAAAATGAAATATTTGAACATAAGTGCCCATGGCTGATTATGCTCTTTCCCAAATAATGCTTCAGAGTAAAAACAGAGCAAGTACAATGCTATGCTGACTTGGGATGTAAACACCAAGTACTGCCCAAAATGATGCTTCAGATCTTTTCAGAGTACAACATAGTAGCTGCACCTGTTGTAGTAGAGTCTGTTGGCAATGCTGCAATTGGGAGTAAGGGTGTCAGAAGTGGGAAGAGGAGTGCTCAAGAGTTAGATGAAGATCAACAGAGGAAGAGGATCCGGGAGATACTTATGTCACCCACTGATGAAGATTCCTTCGAAGGGTTTTCTGAGAGTGAAATGAGTGAGGAGGAGGAAGGAGATACAGTGGATGTGAATACGGGAACTAAGAGGGTTACTCGGGAGCAGGAATTGGATGAGGAGCAACAGAGGAAGAAGATTTGGGATATACTTACTGCTCTCACAGAAGAAGATGATTTCATGGGATTTCTGGGAATGATGGGTCTGGGAGTGATGGGGATGAGGATGAATCACTGGATTGGACCAAGGTGCAAGAGGTTCGGGATGTGTGTACTCAACCAACATCTAGTGACACATTTGCAGGGTTTTCTGGTGGAGGGGATTGGTAATTGGGTGATACTGTGGAATCTTGGGGAAATCTAAGTCTTGACAAGAGATGGTAGAGTTGGAGGGATGGGCATTGGCATTCAGCTGTAGAAGCTAAACCAACTGAAAGTGATGATGACGGGGTGGAGCGCAGTTCATCATCGGATGATGAGTTTTAATATAAAGGTAGGCACTGGAGTGATAGAATTTTGCAGTAGGCAAAGTGTTGGTTTCGTGCCTTGGGTCTTGTCGCTGCCACTTTTGTGTTGGGCTTGGGTCCTGGATCTGCAGGTTGCTGTTTATCTTTGTGTGACAACTCAGCTTGGATTCTCGTAAGTGCGGATTTCCCCTCTCCTTGACTTCGAATTCCTTTTGACGACGATGCTGCCTCATGGACTTTGGAACCTCGCAACTTTGGACTTGGTTTTCTTCGACTTCGGACTTCGGATTTAGATGACGGCTCTTCACAGATCTTTGTTTGATTGTCTTCCATTTGCTGTGTAATTTTGCAGGATTTTGGAAGTACTCCAGTTTAATCCGGATTTTTTGCCTGGATAATCCGGATTATTGCTTTAGTTTGCTTTTCAAGTTAAGAATTGCTGCTACTTTTGAGTTTTGACCAGAGGCACTGAAGCAAGTGTCTCTGAGTCTCTTTTGTTTTGTATTAATAAACTATTCTTTTGGACATATTCCTGAGTCTGGCTCTTTAAGGCGTCTGGGTTCCGACAGCACCTCTATTCTGTTTCTTAACCACAAATATGTTCCATTCATGTTAAAGACAATATTCAACTATTTCATTTTTCAAGCAGAGAAGACATTTTCATCAATTCTGTTAATGCAAACAGGCTACTCTTTGTGCTTTTTTATTTATTTATTTTACAGTCCAAAATTTACAGTCCCAACAAAACTGTAGAGAATGCCCCCATTCAAAGTAAATAAATGTGGAAGCAGATTTTGTTGCCATTCAGTCCTAATCGATGCAACATCTGAAATGTATGTGATTACTATGATTAGACACAATGTTTTGTCAGCTAATTTGTTTTGAAACCAAATAATCAAATTTAGCTCATCTTTCTCAGCTTCCACCCATGCTAACTGGAGCTTAGAAAAATTAATTTTGGACAATATCTCCAAACTCTGCTATTTAACAGGAACAATCTTTATTTACTTGTGTGAATTGTTTTGGTAATTCCCATAGCCTCCGATGTCATAATTTGGCCACATGCAAGTGTTATTAGACTATAATAGCACCTTTAAAAAAACAAAATATTTCCTTTGGCATTATAGACAGAGTTAAAGTATATATGTGTTATGCCTCATCTGTGAAAACAGCATCCACTGTCTTTTCTACATGGCAATGCATATCAGAAATATGAAAGGGAGATGCATTGAGGGCAAGATGTATTGATACCTGAGGTCTGATTAGCAAAAAGTTCCTGTCTACCCTTTTCCAATTAAGAGCCAGCACCCAATAGTTTCAATCAGCTAGTGGAAGCTACTTTCAGCCAGCAGCAGTTCCCTGCTCCAATCCTTGGTAGTTATTTCAAAAGTAGTAATAAAAGATCACACAAGTATCTCTTCACGACCTCAACAATAAAAACTGATAATACATTAAACAGGTGTTTATCAGACTCTCTGGACCTATTTACACTACACACAGTTCAATGCAGTTAAATTACACAGGTCTACATTGACCATATAATGCAATTTCAAATTGCATTATATGACAGTGTAGCTAGGACCTCTGATATGGGGAAAGAATTGAGGATGCCAGGATTCAGCACCATAAATGGAATTGTTGGTTACAATTGCTTTTTTCCCCTTTTCCTGAAAACTAACCAAGAATTGATGAGTATGACCCAAGGACTGACACGATTCCAGGGACCATCATTTTGAGTAACACTGTATCAAATAACCAAGAATGGACTGCCCTTTTATCACAGATCTGCTGCACGAAGAAACATTTTTCTTTTCAAGGACAGCACTAGTTTTTGAAACTTCAAGTTTGAGCCAGAAGCTTTTATCAGTATCAAGGCATATCTGCTCTGATGGATTGTGTAAGGAAGCCTCCTTCAGTGAATTAGTGGCCATTCATTTGCAGCCTGCCATGAATTTTATTTCCTGCAGTTTCTTAAACAAATGAAGCAATGATGGGACACCATCTCTCTCACTAGGCCACTAGGGGCTGAGCTGGTATCAGTAGATGCTACTACTCTCGAGTACTGCATCAAGGAGCATCAAGAAGCTGGTCACTAGTTTATTATTATTATTATTATTATTATTATTATTATTATCTTTATTTATAGCCCGCAAAATCTCCTGTAGGACTCGATGCGGCTTACAAAGGCCAAGGCCGCCAACAATCAACAACATACAATTCACAATAAACTCAAAAGCAAATAATAAACATCAAGCAAAACAATAAACAGTAAAACAATGACACCATAACATAATTCAAACCAAGGGCTGGGCCAAATGTAATGGACAAAAACTAAAATGCTGAACTTGACAGGTAATATGTAGAGGTATATGGAGGTAGGTGCAATGTGCAGATAATCCTGAGTTTCTAGCAAAGTGCAATTTAATTTCTCATAATAACTAAATGTGATGTATCAGGGCCATTATGGCATATTAATAAGTCAGCTTTATCCAGCTGCTGAGTGCTGTTCTGAACACTGTATTATAACAACTGGTTCTGAAGGAGGAAGCAGGTATGGCTGGATGGCCATCTGTCAGGGGTGATTTGAATGCAATATTCCTGCTTCTTGGCAGGGGGTTGGACTGGATGGCCCATGAGGTCTCTTCCAACTCTTTGATTCTATGATTCTATGATTCTATCATCTGCTGTGGATTTCTCTAGGTTGGTGCAGCCTCAACAGCTGCCCAAGAATGCTGGGGCCAATGCTAGCTTACCAAAGCTTGGGGGAAAAATTACCTTTTCAGTCAACAGCTGCAAGAAACCTACAAGTTCTATAACTTGCAAGAAGTACTGAGCTGTCAGGGGTCCCCCCTCCCCAAAAGGCAGCACTTAGGTTCCCCTGGATTTGTAGTCACAGACAGGCATCTGTAACACGCATGCTTTCATTGCACATCTGCTGCTCTTCCTCCTGCCTCTGTGCTTCCTGAATCAAGCACACTCTGGTTCACTGTCTTTTAGCTAAAAGAACCCTTGCTGGCAAATGTTTTATTATTGTTCCAAACTTATTTACAGCTATTTACAATTAGACAGTCCCAGCAGAAAAGAGAGAGAAAGAGAAAGCTCAACTGCATGGTTGCTGCTTTATAAATCACTCCTTATTGCAGTTACCACAGACATGACATCTGAGTGATCTTAACCCTTTAGTTACCAAGCCACATGTCTAGGGAATGATTTTTCCCCCTGGTATTTAGTTCCACCAGTCAATTAATATGAGCTACACTGGGGGTGAATAGACTAGAGTCTACTGGAAGCTCATGAGATGATTGGTAAGGCTGTAGAGTTTTCAGTTGCTTTAGAAGGTCTCTCTTTTTCTTTATAAAATAAGCTTTTTTATTGGAGAAGGCTTAGGGATAGGCAAAGACTGAGTCTTGGTGTGAAAAGATTGATTCATAAGATGTATAAAGATCACATGCTTCCTCTTTTAAATAATTATATCCCCCTGGCTTTCACCCACCTTCCTTGGGCCTATTTTTACATCTGCCTCCTGGTCAATATTAGAGGCTTTGTGAAAAACAAAATAGACCCTAAAACTTCAAGTCTGTCAACCTCTGGTTATGCCATCTTCCTGTTACTACGAACTTAGTACGATTATTAGACAGCCAATGGACCATTTAATGATTGTCAAGAACCTAAAACTATTCAGCAAATTCAATGGTATGATTCCAATAATAGCAATAAGCCAAAAAACATTTCCACACAAATACATCTGGAGCCTAGCCAAGCCACTCACTCAAATTAAATTGATTAAACTTCTCAAGTAAAACAAAATATGTTTCTCAGAACCCAGTCACCCATACAATCTTTATGGGTTTCCCCACTCCCCATATGGGAGTGGGGAAACCCAAAGAAAGAGAAGAACAAGTGATGACCTCACAGCAGTCAATATCTAATTCCACTGAATTTCTAACAATCTTACCTCAATCAGTCTGCATGTGTGTTCTTTAAAAATAGTAGCATATTCCTTTATTTCTTGCTCTCTTCCATTTTTAGCTGCTTCGGTGAGTACTAGAAGTGGAACAGTTGTGTCCAGGAAGGAGTCTGAGATGTGATCAATGATGGCTTTGCGAAGCTGGAAAAAGAAATCACCACCAATAAAAATACATATTCAGACCTAAATTCATTAAAATATTATACAATACAATAAGAGCAATCCAATAGGACAAAATGAATGGGGTTACCTTCAACAAAGTTAAGCAATTTGGTTCTAAAATGTTTCAACCCACTATGTTCTTCCATTCTCTACATTTGCACTCACCCACAGATTTTACATCTATTCCCCAATTTTCAAAGAAGGTTCATATGAATAGGACAGTGGGTTGCCCATTTTCCTTCCATCTCCAGGTCTCCCCTTCTCCTCATGTTATGATTGATGACTTTGAGCAGGAGAACTCTCTCTGCACATGGATACTGTTCACAAAACTAAGTGTCTAATTTTGTGGAAGGGGGAGGTATGCAGATCATATGGAAAGTACTGATACCCATCTCTCTTCACTTGAAGAACTGAAGATGATGGAGGCAGAGTTAGCAAGCTTCTCAAGGGCAACTGAAGGCTCCCATATGAGTGGATGGAATGAATCCCACCCAGGTTTCATTCTAGATTTTGAAGGAAATGTCTGTGGTGCTGAGACATAATCCCTAAATAGTTTTAGAACCTTAAATAATTCCTCTGTTGTTGTTCATTCGTTCAGTCGTCTCCGACTCTTCGTGACCTCATGGACCAGCCCACGCCAGAGCTCCCTGTTGGCTGTCATCACTCCCAGCTCCTTCAAGGTCAGTCCAGTCACTTCAAGGATGCCATCCATCCATCTTGCCCTTGGTCGGCCCCTCTTCCTTTTACCTTCCACTTTCCCCAGCATAATTGTCTTCTCTAGGTTTTGCTGTCTCCTCATGATGTGGCCAAAGTACTTCAACTTTGTCTCTAGTATCCTTCCCTCCAATGAGCAGTCGGGCTTTATTTCCTGGAGGATGGACTGGTTGGATCTTCTCGCAGTCCAAGGCACTCTCAGAACTTTCCTCCAACACCACAGTTCAAAAGCATCTATCTTCCTTCGCCCAGCCTTCCCTAAGGTCCAGCTCTCACATCCATACAGGGAATACCATGGCTTTGACTAGGCGGATCTTTGTTGCCAGTGTGATGTCTCTACTCTTTACTATTTTATCGAGATTGGACATTGCTCTCCTCCCAAGAAGTAAGCGTCTTCTGATTTCCTGGCCACAGTTTGCATCTGCAGTAATCTTTGCACCTAGAAATACAAAGTCTGTCACGGCCTCCACATTTTCTCCCTCTATTTTCCAGTTGTCAATCATTCTTGTTGCCATAATCTTGGTTTTTTTGATGTTTAGCTGCAACCCAGCTTTTGCGCTTTCTTCTTTCACCTTGATTAGAAGGCTCCTCAGCTCCTCCTCGCTTTCGGCCATCAGAGTGGTGTCATCTGCATATCTGAGGTTGTAAATGTTTCTTCCAGCAATTTTCAATTTTCACTCCAGCTTTGCATTCATCAAGCCCCGCACATCGCATGATGTGTTCTGCATACAAGTTAAAAAGGGGTGAGAGTATGCAGCCTTGCCGTACGCCTTTCCCAATCTTGAACCAGTCTGTTGTTCCGTGGTCAGTTCTGACTGTTGCTACTTGGTCCTTGTACAGATTCCTCAGGAGAGAGACAAGGTGGCTTGGTATGCCCATCCCACCAAGAACTTGCCACAATTTATTATGATCCACACAATCAAAGGCTTTAGAATAATCAATGAAGCAGAAGTAGATGTTTTTCTGATGCAGAGCAGACTCACCACACCACTGTCATTGAATCTTCTAGTCACTGCTGACTCTTCCACTTTTGCGCCTTGATTTATAAAATAATAGATTCATAGAGTTGGAAGAGACCTCATGGGCCATCCAGTCCATCCCCCTGCCAAGAAGCAGGAAAATCGCATTCAAAGCACTTGGTGTTTGAATGGGACTTCTTTATCAAAGCACATACACATGTGTGTGAAGTACAGTGTGGATTCCCTACTCAGTGCAAAGTCAAACTACAACAAAATTCTGTACAGCAAAGTACAAACTGGGGAGGCAATTTGAGAGTGTATTTGTATGTATTAGAGGTGTGCATTTTTCATTAGTCCTCAAAAGTCATATCAAATTAATTAAATTAGTATGTAGAAGACAATATCTGACACGTGGGCATGGCCCACACCAAAAACGTAAGAATCAAAACTTTCCAAATACTTTTGTGTTTGCATTTTGTAAATCTTTGAAGCCTCCCAGAATCAGTTTTATTTTCAGTGCAAACAGGCAAAGCCAAAATGGCTATCTTTCCTCTGTCTCCCATGCTTTTTAACATCTACATGAAACCGCTGGGAGAGGTCATCCGGAGTTTTGGAGTTAGGTGCCACCTCTACGCAGATGACACACAACTCTACTACTCATTTCCACCTAATTCCAAGGAGGCCTCTCGGGTGCTGGACGAGTGCCTGGCCGCTGTGTCTATCTGGATGAGGAAGAACAAGCTGAAGATCAATCCCGACAGGACAGAGGTCCTCCTGGTCGATCGTAAACCTGACCGGGGTATAGGGTGGCAACCTGTGTTGGACGGGGTTACACTCCCCCTGAAACCACAGGTCCGCAGTCTGGGAGTCCTCCTGATTCATCGCTCACGTTTGAGGCTCAGGCGTCGGCGGTGTCTGGGAGGGCTTTCGCACAATTAAGACTCGTGCGCCAACTGCGACCGTACCTCGCGAAGGCTGATCTGGCCGGGGTGGTCCATGCCTTGGTCACCTCTAGGTTGGATTACTGTAATGTGCTCTACGTGGGGCTGCCCTTGAAAACGGCTCGGAAATTCCAACTTGTCCAACGAGCAGTGGCCAGGATGTTAACTGGTGCTCCCTACAGAGAGAGGTCAACCCTCCTGTTCAAGGAGCTCCACTGGCTGCCTTTTATCTTCCGAGCCCAATTTAAGGTGCAGGTGCTTACCTACAAAGCCCTGAATGGTTTGGGACCATCCTACCTGCGTGACCGCATCTCCGTGTACGACCCCACACATTCACTACATTCATCTGGAGAGGCCCTGCTCGTGATCCCACCTGCGTCGCAAGCATGTTTGGTGGGGACACGAGAAAGGGCCTTTTCCGTGGTGGCCCCCCATCTCTGGAACACTCTCCCCAAAGAATTTGACAGGCCCCTACATTGGCAGTCTTCAGAAAGAACTTGAAGACCTGGCTGTTCCGCTGTGCCTTTCCCAATTAGGAAGTCTCCAATATCAAGTCCCAGAAGCACTTTATTAGAATTAAGACTGCCGCACACTGCACACTGCACTTGTCCTATAATATCACCTGTCACATCAGCACTTTTTAATCCTGTACCCTTTACTCTGGCCCGGCCCAGTTTTATCTTGTTGATGTATTGTTTATTGCTTGTGGTTTTGTTGTTTTAATACTGCATTAATTGTTTTTAATTTGCTTTAGGTATATTGTTATGTTGTGTATTGAGGCCTTGGCCTTTGTAAGCCGCATCGAGTCCCTCGGGAGATGCTAGCGGGGTACAAATAAAGTTTAATAATAATAATAATTTAAATTAATTGCCTCTCACCATTAGGAAAGAAAAACCAGAGATAAATCAGAGTTCACTGGGAAAGAAAGACAGAACTTTTGGAAGTAGTTTGGGAAGGCAAGGAGCCCTATCACAGAGAATGCAAAAGGCCCTGCCCTACATTACATTTACCAGAATTCTGCTTACATCAGAAAACCCCAATCAGAGGAGGGGAGATATTTGTCCCTCCACAGCAGCAGCCAATCAGAATTCCAATAAACTGGTTAATCTGCAAAGAGGAGGACTGATTGATACATCTAGTAAGTAAATCAGTGCTGGGCTTGGAAGAAATCCCTAAACTTATGGTCCTTCCAACTCAATACGGGAAGTATATTAATTAGCTTAGAGGCTAGATCGCCATCTGTCAGGAGATGGTGCCCTTCTGCCTGGAAGAAGGGAGTTGGATTAGATGGCCCTTGGGGGTCCCCTCCAACTCTAGGAGTCTATGAAAATGTAGAATTGGTTAATATTGGTTTCAATTGGTTAATGCATGACATACATTCAAGGAGATAGCTGTTGTGGCTTTTAAAAATTAAAACTTTTTGTCAAAAAAATTAAATCCCTAAAATTAGCAGATGTATGAATATTTCTGAAAATTGAGGGGAATGATCCCCTCTTATCTTGTGTCATTGTAAACAAAATTCAAGGAGATAACTCTTGTCATTGTTTTTTAAATGTTGTTTATAAAACCTTTGAAAATTCCCCAAAAATCTGTGTATAAGTGAAGCCTTCTGAAATTGATTGGCAGTGGTAAATCTGTTCTACCATTGTAGCAAGTTTCACCCCAATAGCTATAAAAATGGGGGAGAAAGGAGCTCCTGAACTTTCCCCAATTATAGTAATTATGTGCAATTGCTATAACAAGGAAGTAACAAAATTTCATTACTCTCATTATAGTAATGAAATTTTCACTAACTATACTTCAGAAACACTTTAGAAACAAAACGACAACACCCCCTAATTTTGTAATGACTTTTGAAATATTTTTTTTATCAATCGCACATGTCTTTCACATTTTTCTGCAATATCAAAAGGTGGAAAATAATCTTTAAATATTTAAGCTACTGGAGGCACCAGTAATGGATTGCTATTTATCTATTTGTAAAGAGCCCCAGTCAAAATAGATAATAATAACTCTCTATCAATAGTTCCATTAGGGATTCAAATTGTAACATAGAGTGAAATGCTACCAGCAATAAGAGACAGGTGTTACACATGAGGATTTTAGTATTCCAAGCCCTTCTAGATAAAAATAATACATATTAAACATTAGATGCCTTTTTATATGACTGGAATAGATGGAAATAACAACTACCTATAGTCAGCTGAAGAAGCTAGCACATGTTTCCAATATCCTGACTGTGACAGAGCCTGCATTGCATAAATATTCAACTCACACACAAGAGATATATATTATGCAAATCTTTAGCCTATTGAAGCACCGTATATTGATTTACACAGTACTCTATACAGTCTTGTTTCCATAAATACTAGTTCAGACAGGCATGTATCAAAACGTTTTTGAACATGAGATCAAAGACAGGGCATAAATTTCCACATGTAGATTTGTTCATTCAATACAATACATGTAAACAAAATGTGTTATTCCATCCACTGATTCTCCTTCCCTTTAAGGATGCATACATTGCCCACCCTTACTTTTTAAATTCTCTTTTACATTGTAATACCATTATATTCTATTCTTATTACAGTTTCAAGGGAATAAAATGTGTAAATAGATTAAAATTAGTTAAAGGTGGCAAAGCCAGATCTAAGTAATACAATACAGTGAATTTTCCTGATCCGCAGGATTTGGATCAGCAATTTCCACTGACTGAGGGTTGTCATGGCCCGTATTATTAAATAAGGCCAATGGGAACATGTGCATGCAAAAGTGTGCATTTTCATGTCATGACTATTCAATACTATGAGTCATGATCATCCACACTTTTTGGTATCAACATGGGTTATGGATATGGCTGTGTCACTGTATACTTATTTGCCCTTCAGTGTAAGAAAAGTTTTCTTCCTAAAACAAGTTGAACCCTATTTCTAAAATATCAGTATGTTTATTTGTAAAACAACAAAAATGAATGAGATGTGATGGAATGATAAAAAATAAAGCAGTTACATTGCAGCAGGTATATATGCTTACCTGATCTCTGGACTCTTATGATAAATTATTTCTTTCTTTAGATTTTGCATTGCATTTTAACTTACTGTGTAGGTATTTTAATTAAGTTGATTATAGGCAGCCTTGGGCATCTTAAATATATAATGGAAAGGCTGTGCATAAATATTCAACAGAACAATTCAAAATGTTTTCCTGTCCAAACTTGCTGAGTTCTCTGATGAGACGAAAAAAAGAATGCTGTAAGAATTGGGACTCAATCTATCAACTAATCTAGGAACTGGTCTAGTAAGCACCTGTAATTTAATGGTCTTAAACACATGTATGAATTGGTTTCAACAAAAGATGCACCTGAGCTATAGAATGAATGCAGTTTGACACCCTTTTCTCTGCTATGGATCAATGCTATGGGCTCATGGGAATTGTAGTTTGGTAAGGCACTAGAAGTATTTATCAGAGAAAGCTCAAGATTACAGCTCCACCGATTCCATAATTATCTTCCATGCTACTGGAGAAATTGTATATTCTTCCACATTATTTTGACCATATTTGAATACCCTGAAAAGTTAGACAACCAAACCCTGCTTCCTATAGAGGAGAAAGGGTTCCTGCAAAAAAAAAAATCCAAGAAACAGTATTTTCTGTGTAAAAAACAAGATTAGGAAGGGGTATTTTTCCATGCAGACTAATTCTTCAACAATACCATGAAACATCTGAAAAAAATGGGGGAAAATATACAAGATTCTTGCTGGTCTATAGTTTTTCCCTATTGGATTTCCTAACTCTTGGAAAACTTTTTTTAAGAAAAATCTGGGAATAATGATAATAAATATTATTTCCATCTCTACTCATCAGATCCAGGCTTGCTTAATTACAATGGTGTTACATACAATGGTGTTGCACACTTACCTATCTTTCTCAGATGAGCTTCTCCCGATCCTGTCCATACGTCATCTAACTTGAAGATAATAGGTCTAGATTTTTACTCTTCAAGCAATGAAGGACTTAGGCTATACATTGTTGTTTTACACCTATGGTGACTCTGGTTTTCCCATTCCACCAACCTCAACAACACATTAAAAACAGATTTTTGTTTCTCTTTTCATAATTGTTTGCACAAATCTCTGTTCAACACATTTTGTCCTCAGGGGAGATTACCTGCCTGCGGAGGTCTCTTGTTTTCTTGCACATGTTATCTATTGCAGTATTCAAGGCATTGCTTCTTTCTTTTTTATCAGCCTGGGGAGAGAAAAAAAGCAATTATTTTGAGCACACACAAAATTAGGATAATTTCTTCCCTTTTTTCCAAATCATGATTCTAATTGCAGTTTAGAAATGACATGTTTTTGAACATAAGAAAGATACTAACATATCATGTCTGACCTGAATTGTTTGTTAAAACTAAATAACTGCAGTTAAGCATATAGTTCTTGTTTTTAAAGTTTTCATACCAAATTGGTGCCATATTAATTATTATATAATGACACCAAACACAAAATTTGCTCATTTGATGGTCACCTGTCCTATTTTATAGACAGACTATCTATCTGATGGGCTATAAGAAGACAATCCTATTGGTATATGTCACACTGTGGAAAGCTGTATTGAATTTAGATTTTAATTAAATTAATTATTTCAAACTTTGCCTCTACCTAGCTATCTAGATTAGCAGGACACATTTTATTCAAATTCATGTTCTCCCATACAAGTGCACATTTTATTTCCTTTCCTTTCCTTTCCTTTCCTTCCTTTCTTTCTTTCTTTCCATCTTTTTTTCTTGGCCACACATAAGTAGCCACCTCACACGTGAACCTATACAAATGAGCACATTCCCAGCCCATTAACCATTTTCCTGCAGTTTTAGAGGCCCCATTAGCTGTAGTTAAAAACCATCCATTCAAATAATCAAAATTGCATCAGCAACAGTGAAAAATAGCACATATAACATTAAAAACAGCAGCTAAAAGCTTTGCGATGCTTGTATATTGGTCCTACAAATCTCTCTGTGAAATGCATCTCATGAAGTTTTGAGAACAGTCTTTTCTCCTCATTGTGTTGTTGGAAGTACTACAATGGAATGAAATGTATCCTTTTCCTACCCACCTTCCCTCTCCATTTCAACCCATACATTACATCTCCTAGATCATACTGTATAGTAGAAGCTTGAGTCTCTGCCCATGTGAAACCCCATTTATACATTTGTATGGGGAGGATGAAAGGACAATGGCAACCAAAATCCTGCTCTTCTGGAGAGGAGCTATATTCAGATAATATAGATATGCTACATCTTGGAAGATCCTTACAGACCAACCAGCAATCAAAGTTGGCCCACAAAATGAGACCTATAAGAGCTAGGGTGGGTGCCCTTTCTGGTATACTCTCCCCTTTTATAGGTGAGGTAAATACATAGTGCTGATCTATAAGAGTGCCAGTGTTCTCCACACTCTCTATATTTGACTGTATTAATGTCACGTATGAATGTTATTTGCTGCTTAAAGGGCCTGGGGAGGAATATTATGCACTGGCATGATTGTGTTCTCAGATGGAAACAGTTTCATTCCCCATAGCCATAATTTTCTTTGTTTGCATTTCCACTATAACTGTCATATGGTAAGCATAGTGATGTTTCAGGAATTCACTCTGCTGGGAATTAAAAAGAAAACAAACCCTGATTTATCCAGTCCTCACCTCCTGGGCCAAGCAGAAAAATAGATGCAATTTTAAGTCTGAAATGTGTAAATGTATAAGTAGGAATCTGTTCTGCTAAGGAATAAAACAGGATCAACATCATGCATGTATTTGAAAAACGGACCAAAAAATCACACACATTTGTAAAACATGCACACAGTTGAGTCAATGAGGCAGGAAGTGCATTAATATTTCTAATTGATAATGAGGAAAAATCTGTATGAATTATCTTTGTTTATTGAAATATTTACATCCAACCTTTTATCATGGGATTTCAAGTCAGCATACAAAAAAATTGATGTAATCAGACAAAAACTGAAAAAGGATAATTTACAGAGACTCAAGCATATTAAATAAACTAAAAAAAAACCAGTCAAAACAGTTTAAGACAATTTAAAATCATGCATATGTCCAGATTTGGATGAAATCAATGAAACCCCCAATCAATGAAGAACTCCAAAAGCCACATTTTTCTTGGTACCAGGGAAAACCAGCCATTACACCAATGAGGCCTCTAAGGTGAGTATATTCTACTCATGAGGCAATCCTCTCCCATGTCTTCCATTCCAGGTATTGGCCCCATGACTGGGTCATAGAGGAGGCCCTCTCCAGTTGATCCTGAAGTCTACAATTTATAAAGAAAATCCACAAAGAACCAGAATAAATTTTAAGATCAGGAAGGTAGATCAGTTATTGAAATTGAGTTGGCAGATCTATTGGTCCCTTGGGGGACTGAGTCTGATCTGTTTTAGAAGATATAAGAAGAGAAGCATCAAGACTCCAGCTCAAATTAAGGATATACATACTTTCCACACTCCTATGGTAGGTCACTTGATGATATGCTCAAACTATCAGAGGCCATTAATTTAAAGAGGAAATATAAACGTTTTGACTTTGCTTTGCTTCCTCGCACTGAAAATAAAACTGACTTTGGGAGGCTTCTGAGATTTACAAAATGGAAACAAAAAGTATTGGGTAAGTTTCCATTCTTAAGTTTTTGGCTCCGGCCATGCCTACATGTTGGATATTGCATTGTAAATATGAATTTAACAAATTCGATACAACTTACATTGATATACAATTAAAATGCACAAGCCTAATACACAGTATATACACAGAGAGCCAGATGTCCTGCTTTGTCCCACATTGCCCAGTTATACCATACTACCATTTTCACTCCTGCTCCCAGTATGTACTGTTTGCACAATCTCTTTGAGAGGCAGGTCAGTCTTTGTTGTTAGTTTTTAGCAATGCACATCAATTTCTAATAAACGCCATCACCACCAACAGAAACATGGGCTTCCTTAGAATTCTTGACCTTGAGCGAAAACATCTTTTTGTAATCATCAATCGATGTTTCTAAGACAGAATATAATATTTTAAAGAAGTGCCAAGAAACTGTAGGGATTCGTTCGAGAACAAATGTCTGTGAAGGTGCCACAAGTCTGGACTGGGCATGCTGTCATTTTTAAATATATATATTTCATCAATTTTAATGTTATTTATCAGCCAACATCAGCAGGATTTTTTAAATAACAGCACTGTATAAGCAGGTCTTTTTCATCACCATTTAATTTCCTCATTTTTCCAACCCTTCAACATAAATCTTGCTATTTCAATTGTTTCAGAATGAGATTCTCTCTTATTAGCACAAAAAAACTTGTAAAAAAAGCCAAGGTTCTAAACTGAACCATTATTTATATTTCCATATATTCAAATAATGATATCTACAAAAAAAGATCATATTTTAAAAACTAAAAAGGAAAAAGAAAGGGAAAATAGAAAGATATAGGTATTAAAAATATTCCTTTAATGCTGAATATTGTTTACAAAATTTCCTCATATTTTTATGCTTTTCTTCTGTTTATGGATTTATTCCATGCCAGGCAAATCAGTTAGGCCTAATATCTAGGTATTTATTCTGATTTTATCACTTGATTTTTTTTTAAAGGAAAAACTGCCTGTTAGCAACAAGTTGTATCATTCTGAACCAAGACTGTTCTTCTTTTGTAAATATATTTGAAATAGCTGTCATGCCTATGGCTTGCTCTACTGGACAGTTTTGATCTATGTTGCTACAGAGCTGGGAGTGTGTGTGTGTGTAAATCCAGTCTGCAACTGGGAGGAAAATGTCAACAAAAGTGTTCACACTTCAAAAGACCATAGCATATAATTTCATAGGCACAAATTAAGTTTTCAATTACTGGCTCACTATAGAAAGCATAGTGCTTGATTGCTGAGCTGTGGTTTTATAAGCATCATGCATTTTCACTATTCACATTTCAGTCAAACCCTAATTTTCATGGTGATCTCAAACTAATTTCAGGCTACGATTTGGCCCTGCGAGAAACCAGTATGCCTGCACTTCCACCCCTGCAAAGTAGAACATGCTGCAAGACAGCTTTGGTCTATTTTCTTTAGATATAAATTCACCACTATTCACCTTTTCGATAATGTTTAGGTCTTAGATGTGCCAAAACCCAGGTTTATATAATTATGGAGAATAAAAGATTAATTTCCAGACTTCCCAATAAAGTCCAGAGAAATAGGATTGCCATTTTCCCCTGAACAGACCGACTACAAGATTATGCCAGGTACGAAAACTAGATTAACTCTGATTTCAAATTTAGCTTGTTAAATAAAGAACCAAGGAGACAGTAGTTGAAAAATAGTAAATTTGATGGTAATAAGCATTTGCTTATTAAATATATCTTAGGAACAAGAGAGGTCATAGTTAAGGAAAGATGGGACAAGATATTTCAAATTTAGCATGTTAAATAAAGAACCTTTTTGTCCTAGCTTAGAATTCTCTTGCCATTATTATTATTATTATTATTCAAGCAAAGACAAAGAAAGCATCTTGTTTTAATCACAGATATCCAGACATCAGAAGACCGCTCCCAGACAAGACAATGGTAAAGATAGTTTGAAATTTACACTGAGGTCTCTAATTGCATGAGCATGTTATACATATCTAACTATCTAGCTATAAAATATCATAGCTAGACCTCCATGCTGTCACTGAGAAAGAAATGTGACATACTATATGTATGAGGAGAAGAGAAAGGGAGGAGAAGGAAGCAAAGACATAAAGAGGAGCAAGAAAGGAAAATAGGAGGAAGGGAGAGAAAAAGGATAGAAGGAAAAAAGGAAGAAAGAGAAAACAAACTGTAAATGTTATCAGGGGAGGAAAGAAGAGCAAGAGAAAGAAGAGAGGGTAAAGGAAGAGAAGAGATGAAAGAGGGGAGGGAATGAAGAAAAAGAAGGAAAAATGGAAAGAAAAAAGGAAAGGAAAAAAGAGAGATGAAGGTATATGAGGGAAAGCAAGGGAAGTAGAAAGGAAAGAAAAAGAGAGGGAGAAGGTGTATGAGGGAAATGAAAGAAGGAAGGAAAGAGAGCCTGTTCACTGTTGTCAAAGTGTTGTCATGGAGACACTATGAAGTAGGTCTTCTCAGAGCCGGAAGACGGAGAAAATAGGCAGCCCGCAGTCTCAATGACACCCAGGCAATGCCGGAGGCGAATATATATGTTAGTTCACATATATTTCCAGA